AGAAGCTTTACTAGCGCCACGGTATTTTCAAAATCAAAGATAATACTGTTGTGTCACAAACTTACGGTATCCTATCACGAAGTCCTTCCTCTCTCAATGGTAAATCTCACGTTATGCTGCAAATATCAAACGATATGAAGCATGCTGCAAATGAGAATGTCAGTGTATGTATGTCGATATTTGCATGATGTATGAAAAGCGAGAGGTATTACAGTTGCGCTTTTTTTGGGTTTGTCTTCACATCTGATGACATTTTGTGCATATTGCAGTATCAGAAAGTTTTGGAATTCACGGTCATCTTTAGGACTTAGCCTTTAGCATCGAGCATGTACAGAAGATGCGTGAAATTTTTGTAAACTAAAGCACTTTTGCCGTACACTGATGGTCTTATGACTCTTTGCGCAAGTATACTCATGTTTTTCTGGCGTTTCCAGTTAAATGCGTTACATGAAAATGAGCCAAAATTACTCGAAATTTCCGAAATCAGCCTTACGAAAAAAATGGGCCAATGGTTCAGTAATCGTCCTCAGCCCAATAGTAAAACAGGGGAGAATTTGAAATCAAACCGGAGTAGACCATTGGAGCCGGGCGCGCAGGCTATCAAAGTTGGCGCATGAGTTTCTTCTTGTTTCTTTCCCGTTTTCTGGTTTATTTCACTCTGTAGCCATGCTCTTTGATAGAACTACGATCTTCCTGTTGCTGAATGTCATTGCACATTGCTTTGCTCCTGCCTTTACTTTTATCTGAAGCAAAGCATAGAAAAACGATACAGTCGTAGATTTTCGTTAAAAGTACACTTTCTCCAGTGAGTAACATGTGTATATTTATAGTGAATCATTACATGATTCACTATAGATATACACATATAGTTTTGAATATAAATAAATATACACATATATAGTTTTGCAGCTGAATACGTTTTTGGTAGCTTTTCTCTAGAGGAAGTTGTCGTCACAAGAGTTTGTCTTTGCCCAAACAGTCTAAATTGGTGCAATGTGCATGATGTTAGGTATTGCATGGCCGTGGATACTTTGTTCGGAGGAAAAAATTATACTTTTGAAAAATCTACGATTGCATCGTTGTTGCATGCTTAACCTGAAATGAAAGTTGAGCAAACGAGCAAAGCAGCGTGGAATAACGTTCAGCAACTAAAAAATCGTTGAATCTATTTAAAACGTAGCTACAGAGTTGGAAGAGAGAAAGAAATAAAAGAGAAACAAGGAAAAACTCATGCAGGTTTAACTAAAACGAGTGCCGCGCTCCGGCTCTAGTTGTCGGCTCAGGTACTGATTCAAATTCTTTCACTGTTTGACTAGTGGGCTGGTGACGACTATATGATGTAATTGAAAGATTGAACGTTCGCGGCGGTTAGGATTAAATCAATGTGAAAAAAGGACCACTTTTTTGCCAGAAAGGATCTTTTCGGCAGAAAAACCTTAATAAAGGCTTCCTTGATTCTGAAGGCATTTTGTGTGGCTCAAAAGTTTGACGTTAAGAAAGATTACAAAGTGCAGATTACCGAAAAGTGCTGGAAAATTGACTGCGACCCCTTTTTTACCGCAATGAAAGCAACAGTATGTTTCAAAAAAGACAACACATGTACATTGCGCAAAACCACCAACTTTTCCGTTTTCCGCCGACTCTGCGTAAAGCTTTTGCGATGTCACGGTGGTGTCCTGGCTCAAATCGTATAGAGACTCTTTTAGGAATGCTGGAACGGTATTTATGCAGATACAAGCAGGAGAAAGTGATACCATCCGTTTTATCCTCCGTTTCAATCTTCAATCTCTACATCACATTTGCAAGCCGGCGTGGATTCAAATGGCTACCTCGCTAGACGCTGGTGCATGGAGCCATTAAACTGAAGTTATCCATAGTTGTTGCTAGTTGGCTTTCCCGGTCCAGCCCGGGTCATTGCTCACCTGCACAGCAAGCCTCCCTCTTGTAAGTTATGGATGACTTACCCTGGGACATCCGCTGAAAACCGCATCATTGTGATCCTGAGGTGAAAATGAGCTTCACCGCCCTCCTTTACATGACTATAGGAAAATGCTTGATTAAACATGATAATCCTTCAATTCCTTAGAAAAACGTAGACAAATCAATAAATCGATAGAAGGACCCAGCGAATTCCAGTGAAAGGTAGCCTAAAACCGCTTCCGGGGTTGAAAACATTTGTGTGCAAACTTTCAGCCCACTCGGTTGAATGGCGCGCGTTTCTATAACTCACATACCCTCCAAACAGACAATTTTTGAGTTTTATATATATATAGAGATATACAAAACTCAAAAATTGTCTGTTTGGAGGGTATGTGAGCTACAGAAACGCTCGCCGCTCAACCGATTGGTTGTAAAACTTTGCAAACAGATGTTCTTGTCCCCGGAGACGGTTTTAGAGTACTTTTATTAAAATTCGCTGGGTCCTTTTACCGATTTATTGATTTGTTTAAGTTTTTCTAAGAAACTGGAGGCTTATCATGTTTAATCAAGCAACAGCAGTCATCCCCATCTCCCCATAGTCATGTAAAAGAGGGCGGTGAAGCCCATTTTCACCTCGGATCACGAGGATGCGGTTTCGAAACGGATGTCTCAGGGTAAGTCTCCATAACATAACTCGCAGTGCAGGTAATGGCTCGGGCTGGACGGAAAAGCCAACTAGTATAGAGATAGCATGTCTAATAGGCTTGACAAAGGGAATAAAGGAACAAGTCATCCTCATTATCTATGAGAATGATGTTTTGCATTTCTTCGCTTTGTTTAGAGGTCGTATGTTCATAAAATAGTGGAGGATTATGCTTATGAAGTATCTGATACGCTCCTACCTTCGGAATATCACCTAACTCAATGTAGTGATTAAAGACTTTTATTGAATGCAGGAATAGGCCACAAAAATGCCATACAGGTGCATCAGCCCTTCTATGGATCCGCGGATCGCAAACTTCCTACCTTACAGTCAACGTGCGCCGTATTTTCCTTCTCTTACTGGTAACTCTTTCGTTCTTCATTTCCTCACATCCTCTCGATACACTTTTGCAAAAATGACAGCCTCATACAAAATGTTAAAGATGACGAAAACTATTTGTATCCAGCCTGATATAATGAGCTTGCTTTGACATATAATGTAAAGAATCGCTGAACATGTTGACGACGAGCCAAATTTTCTAAGTCTGTCTCCGCGGACGAGGTGTTTCTATGCACTTTCACACCTGGCTGCGTGTACATTGCATTCACCTGTGCAGGAAGTATGGACATGTGAGTGGAAGGGGCAGCTTCGCCCACTCGGCAAAAAATGCGAAATTGCTTGAATTTCAAAGATCCATGCAAATTCGGGCTTTTTTGAAAAGCGGGAGGAACTCGCCTGACGGTGGGGGGGGGGGGGGAGTTCGGAGCCGCGGTTGAAGTCGCCTGAGCTTCCAGGCATCTATGACCTGCTTGCGTTTCAAGCACAAAAATGGAAAGTCGAAAGTAGCGGAGCGGGCGGAGTTTGCCAAAAGAAGGGCGTGGCCAACTTGAGAACTTTATGAGCCTTAACTAATTACATGAACAAAAGTTTGAACAATTAGGCAAATCAGAACTAAACATACCTTCGATAGTCTAGAGACAGGGCGTCAAAAGTGAAGGTTGTTTGAACATCTGACGTTTTAAATAGTGAAGGTTGTTCAAAGAGGATCAGAGAAGAGAATATGACGTAAAACAGATATGAAAAGCAGAAGAAACTGTTGAAAACCGGATAAAAACGCTGCAAAAAGGTCTGAAGTCTTTCATTTGGCGGCTTTTCAAAGTGCAAGTTTTCGCTCCAGGACCAGCAATTCGCAACATGGGGTTTTGGTTTTTGGATGCGTCCTTTAAATTTTTACCCCCGCATTGACGTTCCTGTTTCCTGGGACGTCGTCTGGATTGTTGCGCTTATTGTTCTGAGCAATAATCGCCCAATCGATGCGAAAGCACTGAAACAGAACAAGGTAAAGAAGAACGCACTTTTTACGATTTTTCGCAAAAAATTCCATCATAATCGAAGAGGTAAGGGCTGGGTGGTTGTCTGCATTACGAACAGAAGCAAGATCTATAGAATGCACGAAAAAACCGCGTAAAAATAGTAATTAGGAGAAAAACAAGAGATTTTCGAAAACAAGGTTCTTGCCAAATTCTCGATCAGTTCAAAAAATATGGTTCTGGGACGTTGTCAGCGTGAAAATAGAGATCAAGAGCTTTAAAATGATATATAGCTTGCTAAAACTTGGTTCGAAACAGCGAAGAAAAGTGTACCAGAGCCAAATGCCTCGCGCCCCGCGTTTGGGGGTAGCGAGGTAGCGCGCAGCGCGCGGAGAGCCAGACGAGCAGCGGAGACAGACCAGAGCCGACGGGGCATTTGGCTCTGGTAGTGGATCTCCGCGGGGTCTCAACGAAACCCTGCAACATCAAATATCATTCTGATCGTCATGACACGACGAGGAGAACTGACAACGTCCCAGGCTCTGAAAATCACTCATTAACGAGATAGACCAGCGTTTTTGTGCGCGACTCTCTGCGCAAGATTTAAGCGCAGTTTCTCGTTTTTATTTAACTCCAATAGCTTTCCTAAACTTCTAAAACTCGATTTTATTCAAATAAGAGGATAACTGAGAAATTTTGTCTTGAATTCTGGCGAAGATTTCACAGAAACCTTTTTTTAAGGTAAAAAAGGCTATGAAAACGCAAATATTCGGTTTCGCTGAGATGAACTAAAGATATTATTCCCTATATTTGCTTCACTAACATTCGTTCCGATATAGTCAGGATAATAAAATCCGGGGCGAAGCCCCGGATGACTTCTGTTTTTTTCCAGGTGAAGGTTGTGTCTCCCCATAGCCCTCTAAGTGAAAGTTACCAGAGTACGTGGCTCTATGTATCGAGGGTATGGAACTAAATTTGGGGTGCCGTGCACCATTGCGCGTCACTGTCTGAACTTCAAACTTATTCACAGGTGCCTGCTTATCAGTCTGTACGAAAACATGGTTAAAAAAATGAATGAAATTGGTCAAGCATTCAACACGTGCCAATCAGCGACATGAAAAAGAAGACACCAAAAAATGTGAGAATTTTTTATGCGACTTCGAGTATCAATTGTTGCATCATTCGAAAACTTTGAATCCAATCACAGAAAATGTCGCCATCTAAAGCCTGAAATAGCTCTCCTATTTTGAATTGCCCATCCCGAATAAGCAATATATACTTACTTGCAAAACATTCCATTTAAAGTTAGTCTTTTCAAATTTTTATCGATGAAATAACCATTGATAACCAGTGTGTGCTGCCTATCTGTGTCAACATCGTGCAATTCAAACTTAGCATCAAAATTTAAGTCATTTTCCGGTGCACTATCTCTGAAATCACCATCGGCTATTAAAGGAGCTAATACAAATAAGAACTAATGCATAGTAGAAGAATCAAGAACTTACCTTATCGCAATTTTATCTTCGCATGTACACGGGGGTATCGGTTCTGCTAATGTCGATTTTTTAACCTAGAACAGTCGCCGTTATCTTCTTTGAGGTAGAGTGGTGACTCTTACTTCCGACTTTTCTCTTCTAGATTTGGATGATTTCCTCAAACTTGTTGCTATAATAAAGCATAGTGAAAATTATGTTGAGACTCATGCTTGGAAAACAGACCGCTGCCTCGAGGTGTCAGAAGCCTAGGGTCTACTGTTGATTCCTCGGTTGGACCGGCAGCTCAAAATTCAAGATTTGCAATATACTTATTATATAGGTTGCAGTGTACGAACTTACATGTGAGAGCAAGAGGTGATTCCATTTCAGCTTCTCCTCGACTAACCATTGAGGGTGTTAAAGTTGCGTTGCATCTAAAGCCAAATTTGGAGAGGTTTGGCCTAGTCAAATTTTGCAAGTTCAAAAGCAACTCACTTTTTACATCTCCAGCAAACAGGCCCTTCATCGCGCCTTTTTGTCGGTGTCTTACTACGAGCAGTATTATAGATTAATTTAAGACTTTCACTTCTCGGTCTTCCTGCAGTATTTTCTCTAAGCGATGGGAAATCCCTTCTGGAAAACAAAGTATTCGCTTGTCTGTTTTTTGAACGGTTGCATATCTCAACTTCAGTGAGTCCCTCCCCAAACTTTCTGCTCACAAAAGACTTATAATGTTTGGCAGATTCAATTGTTTGCGCCAATGTAGTTTTAACAGATTGTGCCTTTTCCTCTGTATCTTGTCGAAATGAAGAGCTTGATCCTCTTGTGCGCCTTACCATAATTTCGGGGCTAAGCCTTCAGCGCATCTTTTTGCACTTGCTCATGAATATTTTATCTTACTAAGTGCTTCACTTTTTGAATTGCGCCTTAAAACAACTTCAAATATGCAATATAAATTTTGATTGTGTGGTAGGAGCATGGAATTACGCAATTCCTTCCGACGAGGTCAAGTTTGAAGTTGTGGCTATAGGCGTCGATTGGTTGTGTTTGTTTGTTAAGGCGCATCTTCGAATTTCTATGTGAAGATTATTACTCCACTACGCTCAGCCTGCTCACGATGAGTTACGAACGACAGCGAGAAGCGGCTGAGGTATAAATGTGGGCTTTAAGCATGCTCATGTTCCACAGCAAATCAGTAGCAGGTGGGAACTAAGAGCACAGAAGAAATCCTGGTAAAAATTGCTCAAAAGGCTGTCTTATGGAATACCTATAAAAGCTTAGAGAAAACTGGGCACAGCAGAACAAAATTAGCTCTGTGTTCGATCTGAACAATTTTTGCTGGGAATGTATACAATCGCCCTTATACAAGTTGAAACCCCCATTACCGAACAAAAAACAAGTTGTGAGCAGCAGTCTTCTTTCTCCTTTGATTTTGCTGTAATAGGCTATCGCATTCTCTCAGGTTAAAATAATCTTGAAAAATATATTGCTGGCTAATGATAACTACAAGTGTGACGTCGGTACAAGCAACTGGATTTTAGCATCATTCTTAGAGTTAAATTATTGGAATTGAAATCATACTTAGCCCTTATTGAGTCCCTTTCTGAACCACTCAAATCCATTGATAGAGCTGTGTCAAGTTTGTCTCGATCTGAGGCAGTCTTTTCCTTACTGCCCACAACTTCTTCGCCACCTATAAGTCATCGGTTTGTATGCTTATTGATTTTATGTTCATTCCTACTATATGCTTCTTTTCCCTCCACTTTTCCTGATTTTTTGAAGCCTTCTGGAAGGTGATCCTAAAATTTTGTACTTTCTAGTAAACGTTATGAATTTTCTTGCAGATAATAAATAATGTTGTTCGTTTCCAGTAGACGTTATGAATTTTCCTTTGCAGGTAATAAAAAATCTTGTTCGTGTTTCTATACAAAAAAAGTGAATCTACGTCTGGGGCGGTAGGTATCAATCTCCCCTTTGGGTAAGTGTTCAGGCCGTAATTCTGATTAGATGAGGGCACCCTACTATCGGGATAAGCTAGAGCTGATTCCAATTATGTTGTTCCTGCAGAATCTTGATTTGAAAAGTTAGTAGGGCCCGAACTGAAGTGATGGGGTATTGAATTTCTTGCGGATCCTTAGATTAAACTGAATCAAATCACAGATTACATAGACCACAAAACAATTCTTGAATTTTGATCTTTGATTAGTATATATATTTTTCGAATTACCAACATTTTCGAGCACCGAAGCAAAAAATGCGTTTTGTATACAATTTGATAATTAAGAGATCGGGTAGGTCTGCATGTGTTGCTGATTTAGCCAAATTTCGCCCAACCCTTCTTTTGTACGGTCATGCGTCCATGTTCGAGCACTGCTAGAGTAGGGTGTCCGCATCTGGTCACTTCCTTCTAAACGGGAACACTTACCCAAAAGGCAGATCGATACATACCGTCCCTAGTCGTCAAAGATATATGCACTTTTGAACATCACTAAAAGGTGTGAGTTGTTGTTTGATAGATCTGAATTTGGAATTCTTTTCTCGGAAATCATTTTAGAAGTTCTGGTCAGGTATGTAATAATTTACCATTGCTTTATGAAGGAATACAGACTGAATAACCTCATCTCCCGGTTTTCTTCTAGCTTTTCGCCCTGCTTCGGCAAATTTCAGCGAATGCTGTAACCATGACTGTGAAGGTCCTGCCAATCTGAATTTTTCTTTTTTCTTTGGCCTTCGTTTCATGTGGCGTTTGCGAGATCGTCTGGCTCCTGGTGCCTCCAATCTTTTGAAGTGACGTCCTATCTTTGGTGAATAAGCTCTTGTACGTGATTTAAACTCCTTGGGCGATAGAGCTTGTTTTTCCTCTACCCGCTGTAGTTCGGAAGCTATTACTTCTTGCTTTTTCTGTATGGTATGAACACTAGGTGCCTTTGCTGGATTCATAAATTCTCTACTACGTTTTTCTTTATCATGACCTGACATGGTTTTTCTTGACTGTCGTATACTGGCTCTTTTTGCTCGGATCTGAGTAAAACAATGATGAATCAAACATTTTGAAAGCAAGCAAACAAGCACAATAGCATGAGTCTCTTGAAGGCAGCATCAGGGCAAAGTGGTGGGTACTCCATCCAACTACTACAGTATATAGAGTTTGAGCGAATAAGTGCACTTGGAAAACATAACCCTCTCCGCGACCTGTAGTAAAACCCATTTGAGTTCTGATGACTCGCTCGGAGCACGGCAAATGCCCGTCTCATGCCTTTTTGCTGCCGCTCCATATTAAGCGACAGGCGACGTGACGGAGGTATATGCTCGGCGTAATGCCGCGGCAACGTTGCCGGCGCCACAAAGCAGCACCATCGTGCCCGTTATGCAGACAGTCGCGAAACAGTGGGTCTTGAATGGAGACGCAGAGAGGTTGTGGCGCCGACACATGACTAGCGGTCGAGTAATACGTTCGGAGTGGTGGTGCCGCCCTGAAGATGCACGGGGATCACAATTCTCGCCAAATATAATCAATATGAACAGTTGATCCACGCGCTTTCGGTCAGACACAATGCAACCACTTTTCGCTGAAGTTTATTCTACAACTTGCTTCAATTTCCTTTAGAATAGAAAACATTTGCATGCATATTTCATTACTATTGAGCGCTTTGAGCTTGAATTTCAAAAAACAACCGACTTGTTCACTGATTTTCTTTTGCATGTCTTATTTTATTAATAGGTTGTTACATAGGTTTTGTTACACTCTTTGATTTCTTACGAAGATAAGTCGTAAACTTTATAACCTGAATACTGCTCCAAGGTACCATTCGATAGAGCAAAGCAAGCTTCATAAGAAGGTGTGCAAAAGTTCGCACCAGCTTCGACCCACCGTAAGTTTGCATCCGAAATGTGAGTCCACTGAAGGCTCGAAAAATCAGAAAAAATCATACCTTCGTTCAAAAAAATCCTCTGCACTTCCAACTTGTTCACACCGATTCCACACCAATCAGACACTCATATGTACCGTTGTTATATTTTTTCTCCATTTAGAAGTCGAAAAGACGAAATTTTCTTGTTTTTACAAAAAGGATGCTGTTTCTATTTATGTAGCTATATACTACGAGCCCTTAGGAGTATAACCGTGAATTTTCAGCTTTCCACAAGTCCTAGTTGTCGAAAAATACCGAATTCAGCTTTTCTCATTCGGGTGCTCCATGCTAAATTCGGTATTTTTCGAAAACTAGGGCATGTGGAAAGCTGCTGAAAATTAACGGTTATACTTGTAAGGGCTTGTAGTATACAGTTACATGAATAGAAAAGCATAGCTTCGTTTTCGTAAGGACAAGAAAATTCGTTTTTTCGATTTCTAGATGAGGAATAAATACAAAAACGGTCCATAGCATCTGGATATAGGTGTGCAATTTTTATGAATTTGAAGATTTGTGGGATTTTTTGAACGAAGATATGAATTTTTCCTAACTTTTTGGAAATCAGAGAGACTCAGATTCCGGATGCAAACTTACGGTAGGTAAAAGCTGGTGCGAGGGTTTGCGTACCTTCTTGTAGAGCTTGCTTTGCTCTATCAAATGCTACCTATCCCTGCAACTGGGCCCTGCAAAGAATATGAGGTGCATGGCTCATCGCCTTAAGAAGTTGAAGTGTAACGAGACTTATGAACCTTGAACTTTTAGCGCTATATTGTGCAACCATGCCCTTGCGCTATCTGCACTAACTACACATTGACAGCAAGCAGGCTTTATATAGGAAAATTTGGGGGTAGTTTCAACAACCAGAAGTAGGCAATTTTACGCTTATGGGAAACCCGAGAGGGAAGCTGTTCGTTACTTTCCTCATACTGCAAGTGCCCTGCTTACCTTGTACATCTCTGTTGCCTTGTACTTACAAGAAAGTCGTTACTACAGCGCAGTGACAGCGCGCTGCTCATTTTGTTCATCGCAAGTTGGCGTCCGGCAAATGCGCAGCTTTTGCGACGACAACGCAGCGTCGTGCCCAAGTTGTGACTCGTTTTGGGCAAACACAACCGCTCCTTCTTTACGTTGTGACGACTTTTGGGGATTACTAAGGGCCCAGAAGCTTCCAGACTCCGCCTACATATGATTCGACCAAAAACGGATCTGAGGAGCTTTGAAAAAGCTTGTTTTTATGAGCCGCATTTGGGTTCGGCAAAGCGAGGTGAAAGGAAAGCAAAGATTTGTCGGTGCACTGCCTTCAAGCAAAGAGCACCTTTACTTAACAACTACCATTGACAGAAGACAGTAGTTGGAACATTGACGTTTATCGAAACAATGACTTTTACATCTGAGTCTGTTCTATCAGTATCATTCTAATATCTCTATGTTTTAATGAACCAAATTATCAGCAACTTAGTTTCCTAAAGTGTTCAAACCCCCAAGTGCCCTCGTGCTCACTTCTACAAATTAGTTTTTTTGAAAAAAACCTTCAAATAAAGTTTATGAAGAGCTTTCCAACACAATAAAGAAACATGCAGGTCACTCACATTTTCGGTCTTTTCCAAAGGCTTCTTGATTTTTCGTCCTGCGATAGCATATCTACTTACTAGATTCAGATAAGACTCCGAACGTTCTGGTTTTTCTGGTAGAAACTCTTCAGTCTCAACATATTTCTTCCTATCTTCTTTCTTGGACGGCTTACTTGAACGTTTGTCTGATTTTGAATCGCTCGTTGGTGATTTAGGACGTCTTTCGGAGTCAGACTGATCAGAGACCTTCTCATCCGAATCTCTATGAACTTTCAACTCTTCAGGTACAGCGTATCTCGCTTTCAAATACTTCGGAGAAACAGGATTCTCAAAAGTCTTTTTACTCCTACTTGCCTCATCTATTTCCTTCATAGCCTTTCGTGCTTCGATAATTTTTGTCCTAGACCGCTGAATCTGAAAAACCTGCCTCTGCTTCACTGGAGTTGACAGCTGGAGGGCGGGGCTTCGATTGATTACAATGCACGTGAGAGAGCAGACTCTGCATCCCTCTCGCGTACATGCTTTCTAATCGACCGAAGCCCCGCCCTCTAGCCGTCAACTTCAGTAAAACAGAAGATTAACGTCCGAGCTGTATTAATGACTCACCTGCAACTTAGCAGTTTTTTCTCTTTTCCTGGCAGCACTGATCTGTCGATCTAGGTATGACTCAGATTTTTCTGCCAACTGCAAGCCATCTGATCTTCTACTCTTTTTTGAATGTTTCCTAAACCTAGCGCTCGGCGGCGATTTTCTCTGCACTTTTCCTCCAATCAGCGATGAATGTGAGGATGAGTATCGCAAGGTCTCCGTAGGTGGCTTCGCCGTTGTCACCCTTTTTGGAGAAGAGTATTCAACTGCTAACTCTTGCGAGCTTAATCCCCATTCGGGCATAGGAACTGGTTGTGTCGGAGTAGCAATCTTTGCAGTTTTCATAAAAGTAGCTTCTGATATGTCCGATGGCTCTCGCTTCGATTCCTTTTTCCTCGGCGTCCTCGCTTTCTCAATCTTTTTTGAAGAATCTGATGTACTAGATTCTTCTCTTTGTATTTTTAACTCATCGGGTACATCATATTTTGGCTTCAGAAACCGCGGTGAGGTTGGGTTTTCGAAAATTTTGACTGATCTCCTTTCTTTATCAGAGTCTTTCATAGACTTTCTAGATTCTTTGATACTGTCTCTTGCCTGGCGAATCTGTAATATAATAGTTTTCTAAGGCACTTCCTAAGAGGGCTGCTATTACTCTTTCGCAAAGCAAATTGGAGGATTTTGAGCTTTACGTCCAAGTATACTAAATAGCAAAGCCTTGCAAGGGAAGGAAGGCTAGTTAAATTGGCCTTTCAACTATATACATAGTTTTGTAGGGCTTTTAGTGCGGATGTTGCAGGGCTTGTAGTGCAAATGCCTTTGCCTTCCCTTAACTGCGGAGCGTTTTTGGCTGGATATTTAATGGTTCAAAAGCCCGAAGGCGGGCGGGGGCGCACAAGCCAACCAAGAACGACACCAACACTGTGTATCTTTTGATCAAGTAATTAGTAATTAGTAATAATGCTGGTCTTGCGGCGGTCTTAATCTCGTTCAATTCGCTGTTGGTCCTTTTAATGGTCTGCGAAAAACTTCTATAAGCAAGGACATCGTCCATGTGCAATTCCTTCTTTCTATTACACAGTCCCGAGGCAGTGACTATTCTTAGGCAGTCTTACCACGAACTATCTGAACGATTTACCTCTCATGTTCTCGTCCATGATCTCTTTCATGTTGTTTATGCGCGTTATTCCATCCTAAAGTTCCCATCACTGATTTTACAATCGATTCGCTGCTCCGCGTTTCAATATTTTTTTGGCTTTCCTGGTATTGCAGCGGCTACCTTGATGCACATCCAAGAGGTTGGAAAACCGAGTGTTGATTCCCTCCAACTTGAAATCTGAGATCATTCAGATTGTTCGGAAGTAGTCTCATTTGCAGCTCTTTTTGTGAAAAATGCCAATGTTTTGGACATTCTGTCCCCTCCTTTCATCGATGCATGTAAATTCGAGAAACCATAGTAATAAAATGTGTCCCAAAAAGACGTAAACACTGTTTGACGTTGATAACTCTCTTGCTTTCATGTCTCTCACCGAGGTAGAGGTACCGTTTTGTAGAGCGAGGTTCAACATAGATTTACAGTATGAGTCGAACCAACACTCTCCAATACTGTTGGAATACGGGATGAACTTCGAGGAGGATTTTAGGAAAGTGAAAGTGATTTTTGCTCCAGAAGAAAACGGAACAAGTCAGAATTTGTACTGGACTAATCAAAGTCGCTGATTCTATATATGAAATTTGTAATAGTAGTTCTTCATTGTGATAATTCTTTCATAAATTATTTCAGGTTCAGGGTAACAACTGTTCTTCCAATGTTCGTCGTAAGTGTATTCACGCCTGAAAATTATGACACACAAATTTCCAATTTTCGGAATTTTTTCGTCAACAGGCCAAACAGGCCTATTACACTGGTATATGCTGGAAGTTCATACTCTAATATTACGATAATGAAGGATGATTGATGATTTGGTCTATATTGCTATTCCAAATTGAACCTCGCTCTATAGAATGGTACTTCAAACTCGGCGAAAAATATGAGAGGAAGGAGTTACTGATCAAACCGTGTTTGCATTTTTTCGGGACACCTTTTACAACTTTTTTTGAGGAGATTTTCATCAAAAGAACAAATTGTGTATGGAAGATGCCATCTCATACAAGTTTTTGCAGACTAGCAAAATAAGAAACCCAACAGGGAACTTGCTTAGAGCGTTTGCCTGTAAGGACATCTCAGGTTCAAAGGTTCGTTACATCATTTCTGCTCTCTTAAAAAATGAAAAAAACCATATCAAAGGTTATCATATTTTCAGAAACTCCAAACAACTTTTATGTAGTCAACTCAAGTCGAAATGTGTTTGTGGATTCGTGCAAAAGGGCAAAAAATATATAAATAGTGCTGCAGATGTTAATTCTACGTTTTATTGTAAAACTGACCTGCTTTTTTGCTGTTCTTTCTCTTCGCCTAGCAGCACTTATTTGCCGGTCCAAGTAAGACTCGGATCGCTCTGCCAAGTTAAAGCCTTCCGATCTTTTTTGGTTTCTTGAATGTCTTCGGACTTTTGGTGGGGATCTCGGTTTGACTTTTTTTCCGAGCAATGACGAGTGCGAAGGCGAAAATGTTAATGTTGATGGCGGCTCTAATTTCTCTCTTTTAGCACGTTTCTCCACCGGAAGCTCCGCAGATGCGAGTCCCCACTCTGGAAGAGTAGTAGAGCCTCCATTTGACGTAGTCCCCGTGGCTGTCTTCATATCATCATTCTCAGTAGGAGTTTTCGACTTAGCGACATTTGTCTTTTCTCTTTTCTTCTTCTTCGAGGCCTTCCGCCTAAGCACTTTGGCTGACTCGCTTGTATTTGCAGTTGATGTGTCAATTTTGATCACTTTCACCCTTGAAGACTTTTTGGACGATGTGCGAAAGCTTTTCTTTGATGTTTTCTTTGGCGGACGGTATGGATCTATTGGTTTTTTCGGACGGTGCTTCTCCTCCCAATCTGTCAATGCGGCTTCAAGAGCATCTTTTACTGTTGCTACGTTATCTTTTTGGCAAGACTCCTTTTCTCCGTTTAAAAGAAATCTACTGAACGGTTCCGCATTTTTTGAGCCAACTGAAGATTCACTTCTTGTAAATGTACGCTTAACTTGCGTTTCAGGTAGTGGCGCCTCAGGCGTCTTATCTGGGTAGATGTTTGTGGTAGTTGTTGTTTTTATTTCTTTATTCTTTATCACTGCTTTCGATGGACTAACACCATCTGGAACCTCCTTTCTTGTGAAAATTTCTGTTCTAGTGACCGTTTCCTTCAAATAAGACTTCTTTTTCTTTGATGTACTTTTACTCGAAGATTTTGTCCGTGGAGTGGTAATTTTAGGGGTTCTTTTTCGCTCTTTCGTGATCATTTTAGAGGCATCGTATCGCAACTCTTTGTCTACTTTGGATGCTGGTTTTTCATTTCTTTCTCCTTCCACAGCAGTTTTCGTTAACGAATTGACTTTCATTGCTTGCCCATTTGCTTTACATTCTTCAGTTTTTTCAATAGGTTCTGGCATTCCAACGACCCTAAAAATTTGGAGGATTCCAGCAAAATACTGCATGCTTGATTATCAATATGCCGCAAAAAAGTCACGTTCTTGAAGCTTTACCCAATTTTGCTTTGTTATTGGTTGTAGGCGAACTCACATCCCATCAGAATCCCAGGTGATGTAGACGTTGTTTGCATGCATGATCCTCACCTCACCATGATTATCGTATTGCGGGTCATTAGTGTACACTTGTTCCTTCACGATCTTTGTTTTGCGTTTCCTGAAATTCGCAAAGTTGTACACAGTTTGAAGTTGGATTGATTATACATTGCAATTTTCAGCATTTTTACAAGTGAAGGGGTTGAAAACAAGATGTAAAAACTAGAAGCGCCTTCAGATATTGATTCCAAATCAGCTTTCCCTTTGCGGAACAACTCTCCGAAAGAAGTTATTGAAGTTTGGATTTCAAGATTGTCAGGCCATGAATGACATGAATTAGCGGACAGCTCTATAAAAACACCTGGGCCGGTAGTAATCTACCCTACCTGGTGGCATCAAAGATGCCGGCAATTTGGCACACATCGCGGAAAGATGCCAACTCCGCCGGCAGCTCGCGGAGTGGTAGGATTTAACAATCTTATGTAACCTTAGCACGCAATCATTTCGCACACTAAGTTTTGATGACGCAGACAGCCGCAAAAGTGCTACCTCGCGCGCGGTCGAACCTATGTGCGTTAACTTGAAGTGCCATCACGTTAACCATTCGACCATTCGGTCAGCCATTGCCGTTTGCACCGGCAATAGGAGGAACGCGCTGGTAAATGGCTGCCTGTAGAAGGGATCGATACATTGCGTGAGAGACTTTGACCTGAAAGAACAGCTGATTGATATGAGCGAGATAGAGGCGAAGTCGGTGCAAACGAGATTTATAAGGGACTAGCGGCCCAATGGCTAACTGGTGTGAGAAGTATTATATTGAGTCACCGAAGCCTCGTATAACACTTTTTCAATGCCGTAAAAGCTAATAAACTTCGTCTAGTGATGTTTTGATTGAAAGCTTCTGCTGGGAAGGCATACTGCGCATATAGTTCTGATGACGAAAGTACGACTGCTTGCAGAAGAACCTTGGAGTCAGTTAAGATGTCGCGTTCAGTGAAGCTCATTTTCCAAAATAGAAATGCACACCTTACACATCGCGCTTTTTCTCTAGACTCACCCTCGCATTATATAAACGAGTAGTGTTGTATCTTTTCGTACAGCATCCTTCCCGTAGTTTCCTTTTCTGTGGCTTTCCTTAGCTGATGTATTGTATGTTCCTTTCGGTGTGAAATTTTCTCAAAGCGTTAGCAGCTTTTTCCGTCAAAGCATCAGAGGAGGGTGAGGACGATTCGCATCCTTACTGCCTTCCAACCACTGCCGCGCGCGGAACACCCTGCGGCGGCTTTTGCCTAAGCAGGAGGAAGAAAGATTTGCGACGTGCGTGACGTGTTACGACAATCAATCAGGATAGCGCTGGAGACCGACCGTGCGAAAAGACCGTCTCCCATTAGAAGAGCCTAATTTCCTCATCACTCTGGCCTTAAAATATCAGTTCCCAATTTCTTAGCCAAACTGCACTGAGCGTTTGACTCTGAAACTCACCGTGAAGTTGCCCACTGTTTCTTCGTTATTCGAGGAACTCTCCCGTTTGCAAAACCCCCTTTTCTCAAAAGCTTACTGAAGAAAGCCACAATATCTTCCTCCCCCTTCAATGTACTTTTAGTCAGTATGCTCACAACGTTCCCTCAAATTTTCCGTGCCAAATCCTAGACAGGGCCCGGCGTACATTGGTTCGAAGGATTCTTGAAGACCAAGCGCGGAAGGCAGAATGCAGAATGAATGGTAGGGTGGTATTCGTGATCAGCACTTCAGAAAACCTCCTAGACCAAATTTCAGCCAAAACTGAATTGACTCTTCTACGTATACCCACCGTTGCCCCGCCAAATGGCTTTTTTATGAAAAAAGAACGCAATATTTGTGATTCCTCGATCGAATTTCAGCCAAATTCACGACTTTGAATTTTTGGGCCGCGGACACATGGATAGCACCGTTCGAACTTCTCCGCAAGTAAATCCAGTCCAACTAAACACCTTTTTTCCAAAATTTTTATCCAAAGCGCGAGTCTCCTTTTTTTCTGGAAGTTTTCTGTATCTTTATTTGAAGCATGCTATGCTACAGCCGATAAGTCACAAATGGAAAACGCGCGCGGCAATCGCTTTTACGCGCAGTTCGCGCTCATCTCGTGGATGCACAAGTCGGGGATCTTCATGGCGCACTTCTGTGGCGCTTTTAGGCTGAGCAAAAAAGGAAGAGCAAAATTTTACAGGTTTGGGAAAGCAGATTGACCACATTGATCTCTTTCTGTGAACATGACGAAAGGTCCTAGGGTTTGCAAATGTTTCACGCTTTCGTGCATAAGTACAAAAAGATCTGGGAGTTAAAAAACGCGGTAATGCGGAAAAAGCAGCTAGATTTATAACATCGTATAGCTACAAATGGGGTTTTGCAACCTACTCTTCGTTCAAAGTTCAAGGGGCAGGAAGCAGTTTTGAATCATGGTCTGCTAACATGCGCACTACACGGGAACAACAAGAGCCCAATTACCGTGATTCCCACAGTGAATTCATAACATCCGTACTGTACTTACAGATTATTATCAGCTAGTCTCAAACGAAAGCGGCTGCCCATGGAAACGAGCTGTGCGCGGGCGTACGATCTCAATCATGAAAGGCGCTCAAACTTCCGTTCGCATCCGCTTCGCAAACCGACCGCCACTGTCAAGGATTAGGCTTTAAATCCATCATGAGCATTCACATTATGCAAACGATTGAATAGTAACGTTTTGGTTTCCAAGATGCAAGTGAGAGAGTGAGTAAAGGTTATCTGCTATTGAAGCGCGCTTGATTTGGCCGATTCTCCTTAGTTTCCCTCTCTCAATTGATGGCAGTTTACGGATAGTTGTGTGATCGCTGAAGTTCAGTGAAAAAAGAAGTGAATGTTAGAACTTAACCCTAGTGTCACCCAACTCATTTTTCATATGATATGATTTCCTACCGTATTTTCTTTTCTTTATCGTCTACGCTGCTTTAAAATGAACATAGTTTATATTTGTCGTGGAGCCCGCCATATCTATGGCGCATTTAGCCTAAGCAAAAGAAGGGAACGGAACCTTCTTTGCTGTGATGTTAGAGTAATGTGATTTATTCACAATACGTGCTCCTATTTCATCCATGATACTTGCTGCCCTAATAGTCGTAGTCCTGCAGCAACGCTTTGAGGAAATTCTAAACTGTACTTTGATTACTTTCACAACGCTGAATTCTTATAATATCAAATGACCTGGAAACATTCATACATGCATTTAGCGTTTTGTAAGTACCCAAAGTTGCAGAAAGGTATAACTGTGTGCCATCAGAACCAAGAAAAATTTCATTCAAGAAACACCGGCATTTTTAACCGATACGATAACTTTAAGGGCTCATAACTCACCAACCACTGAAGATGGGTCGAAGGGAATGGTACCAGTAAAAAGAACAGGAAGCTTAAGCGAAAATGCTCTTAGATTTTTGAGTTTCATTCATTTTGAAGACGAAATTTGGCCTTAAAGTGGAGGTAACTTTGAAGTTGGAGAACCAGATTCTTTATACATAATAGGATCTGTGGAGAAATCAGCTGTTTTCTGGAGCCAACGTTAGTGGCAAAAATGAATTCCTGAGCGGGGAATCGAACCCGAGTCTGGCAACTGAGAGTCGCACCCCTTAGCCACTAGCCCATGGAGACTACATTGCACCTGCGGTTTATGCGCGTCAATCGCCTTTTTTTTCTTCAAACTCAAAGAAAGGGGTACGGTGTCCAGGCTCCCGCAACGAAAACGGGCGGTGCAAAAAAAGTTCACTTTTCCGTTGCTATTCTTTTATATATAAGGATCTGTGGAGAAATCAGCTGTTTTTTGGAGCCAACGATAGTGGCAAAAAGGAATTCCTGAGTGGGGAATCGAACCCGAGTCTGGCAGCTGAGAGTCACACCCCTTAGCCACTAGACCACGGAGACTACATTGCATCTGCAGTTTACGCGCCTCAATCGCCTTTTTTTCATCAAACTCAAGAGGGAAGAGGGTACGGTGTCCAGGCTCCCGCAACGATCTTGAAATCCGATCAGAAAAACGGGGGTTCTGGTTTCCATTATTTTATATAATAGGATCTGTGGAGAAATCAGCTGTTTTTTGGAGCCAACGATAGTGGCAAAAAGGAATTCCTGAGTGGGGAATCGAACCCGAGTCTGGCAGCTGAGAGTCACACCCCTTAGCCACTAGACCACGGAGACTACATTGCATCTGCAGTTTACGCGCCTCAATCGCCTTTTTTTCATCAAACTCAAGAGGGAAGGGGGTACGGTGTCCAGGCTCCCGCAACGATCTTGAAATCCGATCAGAAAAACGGGGGTTCTGGTTTCCATTATTTTATATAATAGGATCTGTGGAGAAATCAGCTCTTTTTTGGAGCCAACGATAGTGGCAAAAAGGAATTCCTGAGTGGGGAATCGAACCCGAGTCTGGCAGCTGAGAGTCACACCCCTTAGCCATTAGACCATGGAGACTACATTGCATCTGCAGTTTACGCGCCTCAATCGCCTTTTTTTCATCAAACTCAAGAGGGAAGGGGGCACGGTGTCCAGGCTCCCGCAACGATCTTGAAATCCGATCAGAAAAACGGGGGTTCTGGTTTCCATTATTTTATACTAGCTGGCGTACCCGGCTTCGCACGGGGCCAAACTTTGCACACATACACTTCGGGGCAGGGAGCGTGTCATACTCCACTTTTCGTTATCGATCGATGTCGATTTTACCGATTTTTATCGATTTTTTTGCAGAGTTCACCTACAGGGCTAGGAGTTGGCACAGGGGGGGAAGTGAGCATGGGGATTCCGAATACAATATTAGTTTTCAGAATTATCGATTACTTTTATTGATTTTATCGATTTTTTGTAAATTTTGACATGCGAGGCTGGGATTTTGCACAGGGGGAATCGAGCATGCTGATTACGAACACAATATTAGTTTTCAGGATCGTCCATTACTTTTATCGATTTTATCGATTTTTTTTGTAAAGTTTGACCTGCGGGGCTGGGAGTTTGCACAGGGGGGTAATCGAGCATGGGGATTCCGAATACAATATTAGTTTTCAGGATCGTCCATTACTTTTATCGATTTTATCGATTTTTTGAAAATTTGAGCTAGGGGGC